CACATCAACATTTGGGAAAGTAATGGGAATGGAATTCACACTTCCAAACAGATCTGTCGATTGACATCAAATGCCTCCCTAGTGCAGAGGTCGCTCGGTCGATTTTTACTTGTTGTCACAGCTTGGCCCCGTCTGTCATCACCCCGTGTACTGTAGTGGAATTCATGTGCCGTCTCGACCCGAAATTGTTCGCTGTGGACCTCCCAAGCACACTGTGACCCAAATACCTCATGCATAAATATTGTCCTCCTTTAATGCTTCAGCACAGCTGGGTGAATTGTTCTATTGCAAGTCGTAGAGCGGATATTTAAGAGCAATTGGCCATGCAAACGACGGACTGTCCATCTTAGATCTGTATTTCCTGTGATTTTGTCTCCTGCATAAATAGACCCAGGCGTGGTTTGGATGCACACATAGTTGACACACAAGCATATGGCAGAATGGCTGGTTTGCTGGAGGGTGGCTGGAATGGTTAATGGGTGGGTCGGGGTGGACCAGCTGCATTGGTCAGCTGTGCAGACAGGCGGAGGAGGGTTACACCTTCTTGAGCCTCATTAAAGATGAATGGTAGCTTTAATTCACCACCTGCCCGGTCACTTTCAGCTGTACTTATGAGGTCAGATATCAGAGAAGAATTTTTATGTTCATAAATTCATTTACTGCATAGTCAAATTCACTTATTTTCATGTTAATCACTTACTGGCATTGTTATGTCACCATTTATTAGTTTTGTTACATTCTTGTTTGCAGTTTCTATACTTTTCAGCATCAGACCTACTGTAAAGGATAAAAATACATTTGAGTATATAAATCAATTTAAAGTAAGTAAACAAATGTTATTTTGATTTTTATTGATTTTATTTAATATTTATATTTAATATTTTTTTGTATTTATTTATTTATTTATTTAAATTTATTTTAAATAAAGAAGATTGTTTTAATATTTATTTATTTACAATTATTTAATTACTACAGAAATATAAAAATTTTATTTTAAAATATTTATCATTTTCTGTAGTAATTAAATAAATAATTACTTAAGTAAAGCAAATGTTTGCAGAATATTTATTAAAATGATAAATTTTAGTGAATAAATGAATGAATATTTATTCATTAAAATAAAATGATTAGTTTGATTTTGTAAACAAATATGTTAATAATATGTAAGTATATGTGTGACATGTATGCATTTACAGTATTCATTTATTATTTACTAAATATTTATTTATTTATTTATTACTCATTTAGTAATTACTCAAGTAATTATTTATTTAATTACTATAGGAAGAAGAAAGTTTTATTTTAAATATTTTCCATCTTTCTGTAGTACTTAAATAACTTTAGTAAAGGAAATATTTATTAAAATAAAATATCCTTTTTAATAAATGAATGAATAAATATTTAAGATAAACCATTATTTGTATTTAGTTAATAATTTAATGTAAGTAATTTTTTACAGTATTAATTTATTTACTTAATAGATGATAGTTGATAGATAATAGATGATATGTGTGTGTTACTTAATTATTTAATTACTATAGAAAGATCAAAGTTTTTAAATATCATCGTTTGTGGTAAATTACATTAGTAAAGTAAATAAATAAATATTAATAAAATAAAAAATATATAAAAAATAAAATAAAATGTCATCTTTATTTAATGTAGAAATGTAAGAAATATATAAAAAACAAACAAATAAATTCTTAAATAATCAAAAATGTATAAGGAATTAAATATTTATTAAAAATAAAACTACATCATCTTACTTTTCCATGTTTTTTGTAGTTTTTGAATGCGTAAAATGCTGTGATTCCAATAAAACCCCTGCTCAGCCCAGTTACCATGGCAACCGCAGCAGCTCCAGTGCAACCCAGTGATCTGTCCCAGAAATCACTGCTGACCTGCTGTTGTACCTCGTGTTCACCCCCAGCACAAAGCACAATATCCTCTCTGACTCGTACCAAGCAGTCTGCCAGGACCGTGTTTTCTTACCCGCCAAATAACATACAGGATTTCCATTCATAACGACTTACCAAACGGCTATGTTTGCGCCTCAAAGGGGAAAACGGCACCAAGCACGCAAACAGACAAGCCACATATTCAGTTTTCCTTTAAGAGGATCATATACGGATCAACCTGACAGCTAGAATCTGGCTCAACTAAATCTGATTCTAAACAATCGAAGGGTGGAATTGCAAGCAGTTAAACCCAAAGACTGGAAGTCAGTCGATCTGGATTATTATTTAGTGCAAATGAGCACAGAACATCAACATATTTCTTCAGGTCTCAAATGTGACGTCCTTTATGGTTCTTACAATACTTTTGATGTACATGGACATTAAAGTGTTATTTCACCATGTCTGTTTAAACTTCCATTATCATTTATGGCAACCAGTAAAATAAACACGCTTACCTGAAGACTTCCTGTCAGTGTTCTCATGCACTAAGTATCCAGCACTTTGTCTCTGGAAAAGGTCCAAAACAAGCACTAGTTCAGTTCATAGAGTCCACAGTTTTTTCAGACTTCCTCTAATTAACCTTACAACCTTTTTGATGATGTCATAATACTTTAGCCCAATGTCGATGGCTATGATTGGTCAGTTTGTGCACGGAGACTGAGGAAATGGATGGCAGTGATTGTCTGGGTTATGTAATGCATGCTATGAAGCAGCTGTTGAGTGTGGCTGACCGCCAAAGCCACTTGCAAGGTCCCAGAAGCCCCTCGGCAAAAATCTGGACATAAAAAGTAGAAGGCATTCTTCTTCTGTAGAAGCTGGTATTGGTTTGTCTATAAATTAAACTGACTAAAGGTATATGAAAGCTAGTGAAGCACCATTTGGTTTCAGTAAAACCGTATCTGGTGTTGTTTTCTTGTTAATAATGTTGTGGGATGTGTAGTAGGAGATGTCAGGTCACTGGGGTAATTTCTTTCATCGCTAAGTGAATCAGAGCTGGGCTTGGGAAGCCACCCAGGGCCTCATGTTGCTGGGCTGCCAACAAGCACGCAAAGAGGCAGAAACGCAGACAGAGCCACCATTGTCCCCATGCGGTGCAGAGAGCCTTGTGACTGGAATTGTTCCACCTCTCCCCTTTCAGAAAAATGGCTGTTCTTCTGGGGCCCTGAATATAGAGAGATTCCTGGGTGGCGGCGTCTATACCGGGGTGTCTAGCCAACTTTAACCTTCATACTGTAGGGAGGCTTGATGCTGTAGGGAAAGATAAAAATATACTATTTTCATCTTATTCACTCAATGCTTGGAAAATGTATTAAGTATGCGGCTAATTCAGGAAAAACTGGGGCATTTTTTGACATTAAAATTACTCAATAAGTGTTCTTGATCTTTTTTTTTTTTTTAATTAACAATTTGTTCTTGTTCACTTTATTGTACTGTCATATATTTTACTCACTGAAGCGTGAGACTGCTTTCCTGCCTCCAAAATTTGTAAATAGCACAAATCAATAGCATGTTGAACAAGCTTATTGAACAAACACTCCCTTCACTGAATGAATCAGATTTTTTAAAATTTTGTATACAGATGATAGTTTAATATTTCAAAAATGTATTTATTTACTTATTCATTCATTCATTCATTCATTACTCATTACTTATTCATTACAATTATTTACTACACAAAGATGAAAGTTTCATTATAAATATTTTTCATATTTCTGTAGCAATTAAATAATTGATTAAGTAATGTGAGTAATTAAATATTTATTCATTAATTACCAGTTAAATTAACTTATTTTCACATTAACCACTTACTAGTATTGTTACATAATTGCTTATTAATAACTTACTTAACTTACATTCTTGTTTACAGTTTCTAGGTTTTTCAGAATCAAACCTACTGTAAAAAAAAACACAAATACATGCATTAGTTTAAATAAAAAAAATTTTAATAGTTATTTGCTTTAGTATTTATATGCAATGTTTGCTTCAGTATTTGTGTATTAAATATGATTTATTTATTAATGTTTATTATGTATTAAGTAATTATTTATTGAATTACTACAGAAAGATTAACATTTTATTTGAAATATTTATTGTCTTTCTGTATTAAATAAACACTTAAAGCAGATATATAAATCAATATTTATTCAATAGAATATATTTTATTTTGTAAATAAATGAATAAATATATATTTACAATAAAACTATTGTCTGTATTTAGATAATAAGAACATAAGTAAATAAGTAACGATTCATTCTTGTTCACTTCCTTGTACTGTCTCATATTTGTAATTCACTGAATTGTGATTGCTTTCCTGTCTTCAAAGACTGACTATAGTATAAACCAATAGGATTCTTGTGTGGGCTGTGAAGGATAATTTTATTGGTTGAACTTACTGAACGAACACGCCCCCTTCACTGAATGAGTCAGTGTTTTTAATCAGACCAAGACTTATGAATGAATTGTAACATTCCGTTTGTGAACGAACTAAACAGTTAATACACTGAAAATGAGTATCTGCATGTAGTTTGTTCAGTTCAGCATGCGAGTCAGTCTTGTTCAAAACGAGATAAAGGTGACAGAAGAATTTTTGTATGTGTATAAATTTGTCAAAAATTACCATACACAATTATTTAGTAAACCTTAGTAGATTTGTAAATATGCATACATTAATAAGGCTTCTTGGGTTTTAGGCCTTGTGTTTTTATCAAATTAGTTGAGTGCATGATTCAGTAACTCACTCATAACACAAAAGATTCTCTTGTTGCAGCATAAGGTAACCTATAGAAATGCTCACTGAATGAATCGGTAAATTAATCAGAATTAATCATTTTGTTGAACAGCTTTAAAAGATTTGAGTAATTGAGATGTATCAAAATCCCCTTTACTAATGCAGTACACATTAGACTAGAAATAGCAATCAGCTCAGATTGTAAGGGTGAACCAGTCTTCCAGGTTCAACTGAGCACGTTGTAGTGCAGTGACAGATAAGTGTTCCATGGTGAACATGTGTTTATAATTGTAAAGACCACAGAATTCGCTGATGCTGCGGTGTGAAAACAATGGATGCTCATGGGCGTATGGTGATGCCGGGTGGCATTGATGTGCACACGCGCTTCCAGATGCCTGACAGAGGCATGACTGCTGCGGATGATTTCTATCAAGGCACCCGTGCTGCGCTGGCTGGAGGAACCACCATGATCAGTATGTGTCCAACTGTCCTTAGTGTGACGAGTTTGAATCCAAGATTAGCATATCAGCTGCCCAGAACATCATAGCAGCAACTTAGCAATGCCATAGCAACCACATAGAAATGTCCTAGCAACTACCCACAACACTGTAGCAACCATCTAGTAATGCCCTAGCAATCATCCACAGTGCCATAGCAACCACATAGCAAATGCCATAGCAACCCCCTAGCAGCCACCAACAATGCCACACAACCACCTAACAGTGCTCTATCAACCACTAACAACACCATAGCAACTTCTTAGCAACACCCTAGCAATCACCCACAGCACCTGGAAAACACATAGTAAAACACTACTCAGAACAGCAACCACCTAGCAAATGCCCTTGCAACTACCTACAACACCATAGTAACCATCTAATAATGTCCTAGCAACACCCTGGCAGCCATCAACTATGCTATAGCAACCACCCACACCACAATAGCAACCACCTAGCAATGTTCTAGCAACCACCCACAATACCTGGGCAAACACATAATAATGTGTTAAACGCTACTCGGTACAGCTTAGCAACCACTAATATCTAGGGACTAGACAATCACAGAGACTTGAGCCAGTAAGCAATGTCTTAGCAACCACCCACAAGACCATACCAACTGCAACAATGGTATAGCAACCACCTAGTAAGTGCCCTAACAACTACCCACAACACTATAGCAACAATCTAATAATGCCTTAGCAACTCCCTTGCAACCACCAAGAATGCAACAGCAACCACCCACACCACTATAGCAATTACCTAGCAATGCTCTAGCAACCACCACAACACCATAGCAATCACTTAGCAACACCCTGGCAACGACCCAAAATACCATAACAACACCCTAGCAATGTTTTAGCAACCACCCAAAATGTCCTAGCAACACCCTGGCAACCACCCACAACACCCTTTCAAAAGCTTTGGTGTTTATCATAAAGACTAGTAAATGCCCTTGTAGCTACCCACAAAACCATAGCAATCATCTAGTAATGCCCTAGCAACACCCTGACAACCATCCACAATGCCATAGCAACCACTTAGCAACACCCTAGCAACTACTCACAACACCCATACAAACGCTTAGTAATTCTTAAACACTACTCAAAACACTAAGCAACTGCTAAAATCTAGGGACCAGAATATCATAGAGGGTGCGTCTCAATCAGCTCCCTAGCTCCCGAGCTCGTGAATCAGTAGATCGTGTACACGAAATTGGTCACTGGTAAGTTCCCTGACTCACTGCACGTTGGGACAGTGATCACTCGAATTCCAGTGACATGATTACATACAACGTCAACGGACAACATAGTTGAACGTCATCATTGGAATTAATAAACAACAGGCAGGACCAATCTAATTTTTATATTATTTTTTATTCTCTTTAAAAATATCGTTCTGTTACATGTTCCTACAACATTTCAGCCGAATATTAATTATAAATGATAAATAGATGTGTTCATTACCTGTCTAGCGATGTGTTTATGTTGAAATATACTAAAAAACGGTCCGTCTTTTCAAATCTTCTATTGCGTGTCATTTTATTTATCTCGTTGACTCGTGTGTTTATGTTTCACGCTTCAGAAACGTGACGTTATTTCCGGTAAGGGAGCATATGAGCGCCGATGCTCCCTAGGTTTTGCGGTGCATTGTGGGATTTTTCAGGGAGCGAACATTCCAGTGCACTGGAAGGATTTCGCGATTGAGACAGCCCTTTAAAATGGCCGACTCCCTGATCAGTGCCCTTACTACTGAACAAGGGAGCTGATTGAGACGCACCTAGAGACTTGGGCCAGTAAGCAATGCCCTAGCAACCACCCAAAATGCCATAGCAACCACCTAGCAACAGCCTGGCAACTACCCACAACACCTGAGCAAATGCATAGTAATGCAATAAACACTACTCATAACACTTAGTAACCGCTAATATCGAGGGACCAGATAATCATAGAGACTTGGGCCAGTAAGCAATTCCATAGCAACTACCCAAAATGCCATAGAAACCACCTAGAAACACCCTAGCAACCACGACAATACCACAGCAACCATCTAGCAATGGTCTATCAAACAAAACTTACAGTTTCTCCCATTTGCTTGTAGTCTTTATATAGATAACACAGTTAAACGGATGGTTCATCCAAAAATGAAAAAGCTGTCATTATTTAACCTCATGTTGTTCCAAACTTATATGATTTCTTTCTTCTGTTGAACACAAAAGAAGATATTTTGAAGAATGTTGGTAACCAAACAGTAGCTAGTAGCCATTGATTTCGGTAGTATTTTATTCCATAATACAGTATGGATGTCAATGGCTACCATTAACTGTTTGGTTACCAATTTTCATCTTTGGGTAAACTATCCCTTTAAATTATGGTTAGAGCTGCTTTTCAAGAACTATGCTACCGTTTCCTAAGTGTTATGAAAGCTGTAATGTTTTGCTGAGGCACCTGTATTCTTTATTATGCAGCCGTCATCGAAAGTGTCTGACCTCAGTGCAGACAGGATGGAGACAGTGTGCTTAAAATAACACAAGAGACTGTTTTAACATCTTCATTGTCCTCATTTCAGAGCAGCATTATTAACTGATTTGAAGTCCTTATTAATATGTAGGAGTTGTTTAATATCTGTCTAACCACTTTGTGTGTGTGTGTGTGTGTGTGTGTGTGTGTGTGTGTGTGAACAGTTGATCATGTGGTTCCTGAACCCGGGACGACTCTGATCTCGGCCTTCAATCAGTGGCGGGAATGGGCGGATAGCAAAGCGTGCTGTGATTATTCTCTTCATGTGGACATCACTGAATGGCACAAGGGTGTTCTAGAGGAGATGGAGGCGCTCGTCAAAGATCACGGTAAACCGCTGTCAACATCTGTATCTGCTGTACAAACCCAGCAGAGTTAGTGAATACTGCATCGCTCAGGAATTCTGCTGCTGCGCTGTTTCACTAATATCTCACGGACTCCTTCATTTCCCTCTGTAATTTCATCCCCCGTCTTTGTGTGCAGGCGTTAACTCTTTCCTCGTCTACCTGGCTTACAAAGATGTTTTCCAGCTCACTGATTCCCAGGTATGGCTTCCTCCATGCGATGTACCTACAGCACCTACTTGAATCTTACAGTCAGTCTCATGAAACCTGTCAAAAACACACCGTGGTCATATTTAACCATAAAATCAAAAGAGAGAAATAAAAACAATGAAAATTAAGTTTGTTTTTTGGACCAATAATGCAAAATTTTTGAATGGTCCTAAAATATATTTGATATCTTTATATATTATTTTATATATTTATGTAAAAATAAATATATTTTATAAATATTTATTTTATATAGTGTTTTATTTTGCAGTTTAATGTGACTGTCTGCCTATGCACTTACAAAAATTATCATGGCTTTAGACATGTACCATGGTATTTTTAAGTACATTTATTTATTTATTTACTTATGAGTTTGCAGTTTAATGTAGTCTCGCATAGTCAGACCTTCAGACTGACGGCTGAAGGTCTGGAATCCATGGCAGCTTTCATTAGCCAAAACCCACCCATTAGGCCGTTTGACCGACATGTCAGACAACAAAATCACAGTTCGTTTCATTTCAGCGTCACGCTTCGGGGTGTGGAAATGTCGCCAGCCACAATAACAGACTCAGTGTAAAACTCTCAACCGTATTTTAAAGATTCTGTGCTGCTAACTTTAAATATTTCACATACTTTTGAAAATCCAGCGTTTAGTTGATCCTGATAAGCGCTCGTCGTCACAGTTGTAAACGCGACGGATTTCTTCTTTCATGAGGGGGTTTGCCGTTACGACATCTTTGTTTCCAGGTGGAACGTTATAGAACTCCATGAATTGGAGTTCTATACGTCACACACGTCTCCCGGAAATCCTGTATAATTCAACCAATCAGATGACGACTTCGAAACTCCTGAAGTGTTTCCACTTTTGTGTGCCATATGCATCAGACGTTTACCCAACGTTCCGTGGGCATGACGTCTGAGGCTGAGACTAAGTTTAATGTGACATTTCCTCTGGAAAGAAATCCTGACTATTCATTTACAAAAACTGTGACTTTGCCTAACTATGTAGGGCTGCACGATAAATCGAAAGGGAATCGAAATCGCGATTCGACAGAAGCTGCGATTGTCATGCGTATCTTTCAGTGAAGCACGGAAGGATTTATCTATGCATTTACAAACAAACAAGCAAAAATATTTATTTATTTGTTTTATTTATTCATTCATCCATTCATTCTCCAAGATAATTCTTTGATTCTGATCAGTCAAATAAAGCAATATGCCCCGTGAAGCCATGGTTTACAGTAAATTTATAACAGCTAAGGGGCGTTGTTAGGCACGACGCAAAGTGGAGTTAAACGGAATAATAAAACAGTTATTCCATATACGTAGTAAGGTTTCACAAAATAAAACAGCAAATAAAGTGTAATGATATTAATAAAAACAGTATTCTTCCACCAAACAATGTAGTTTCTCAGAAACGGTTGTGGTTGCAACAAAGTGGTTGCCGAGCAACACACAGACGTAAACAAAAGGTGTATGTTTGTAGAGTAATTTACAACAGCTTCGAACGCGGCTCAACCAATCAGAAGGACCGGAACTATCCATTTTATAACATGGAATTCAGCAATCAAAATGATTTTTAAAATTACAAAACATTCTGCCATCTGTTACCATCACAGTACCATGGTACCACTTTTAGATGGCACAGTACCAAGTTTTGGGGGGTTGGGTGTTTATGTTATAATTCCTAATGACAATTGTGAGAAGAAAAAAAGAAGATAATAAAAAAAAAGAAATCTAAACAGAGTCCCTTGGCAATGTATAAACAGATGATGCTTGAGTAGTCTGCCGATGACCGTTGCATCTGTTTTAAGCATGCTTCGTCATTTGCCATTCCTTTCTCATTGTCAGCCTTTGTGTGACTTCGAATGTGTGTTTGTGTGCAGATCTACGAAGTGTTCAGTGTCATCCGGGACCTCGGGGCCATCGCTCAGGTCCACGCTGAGAACGGAGACATCATAGTCGAGGTGAGATCTTCAGAGGGGCTACACAGTCCAGCACTGAGCTCCATTACTCAGAGTTACTATCAACAATAAACTGTTTGGAGATGTTAAATCAAAACATATGCTCCACAATGAACGCTCAGACTTTATACTGGCAAGCAAATCCAAAGCAAATATTCCTACATGAGCTTGATATAATTAATTGCAGATGACTTTTGGCTCGCGGTTATGTGTATTTATCATGATCAAGATAAGCAAACTCTTTGTAATGAAGACATTTTTAATATAGACAGTATATTGGGACTATGACATCATGTTTTACGGATTCAGCCATCTCATGCTACTCTTATCTTCCCATCCTGCTCGTTTTCTGTCTTTCTTTCAACAGGAGCAGCGCAGGATTTTGGAGTTGGGTATCACTGGACCAGAGGGACATGTCCTCAGTCGACCAGAAGAGGTGAATGGCAGGGAATTCTGGGAAAAGACGTCTATTTTCCCATGTTTCCAAACTTCTGTTGAAGAAAACATTTGTACTGAATTGGTTTTATTGATCATTTAGTTGGAGGCGGAGGCAGTGAACCGCTCCGTAACAGTGGCCAATCAGACCAACTGCCCTCTTTACATCACCAAGGTGATGAGCAAGAGTGCCGCTGATGTCATTGCCCAGGCCAGGAAGAAAGGTGAGAGCCAAAATGGAGAACTCTATTTTCAATATGGTGACTCTAGGAAAGGCCCGTCTTTTATTTAATCAATCAAGTCTGGAATGGATCCAAACCTAGTGGAAACATTCAAGGTTGTTTTACTAACATGGAAGAATGTTCTGAGGCGGTTTGATCTAACTCCACTCCCTCCGTGCCATTAAAATGAGGTATTATTATTAAGTCTGAACAAGCAAGGCAGGTTTTATGAAAATGGATGCACTGCAGTCCTGCAAAAAATAATAAGACAGCATCTATGACTCAGCTGTTCTTGGCTAGACAGCAAGAAATGACATCATGGTGGTCGGGCTCCAGAATAAGGGCAAGGGAATTACAGTGAAATTATATATGTCTATTCCTAATTTGGTATCTTTGAACCATTTAGGCACCGTTGTGTATGGAGAGCCAATCACAGCCAGTCTTGGCACTGACGGCTCGCACTATTGGAGCAAGAACTGGGCCAAGGCTGCTGCCTACGTCACGTCCCCACCCTTGAGCCCGGATCCCACCACACCAGACTATCTCAACTCACTGCTGTCATGGTAAGAGCACTCAAAGTCTGTTTATTAGTAGTATGCATTACTAATTTAATTTGTTTCAGTGGTGGAGCCCTGTAATAAGCGTACCATGAGAAGTGAAACTGGTTTATTTTTGTGGTATGAGAGTGGTTAAAAAATGCAAGTTCCATATTACCTCAGATGAATTTAAAGTGAACTGAAGGGTTGACTTTAAGTTTAGGAGTCTGCAATATGGTTTACTTTTAAAGATGTGTTAAGTAAAGAAATACAAATTTCTTATCTCAAGAATACTTCAATAATACTCAAGTATTATTATTATTATTATTATATTTTATTAGCAATAGAATAATAATAATAATTATTATTATTATTATTGTTACATATGATAGTTATTATATACATTATATTTATAATATATAATATATTATAAATATTATTATATTAATAATTATTATAGTATTTTATTACAAAATAATATTCCATGTGAAGCAATAATGATAAAATTTTTTGTATTTTAGTATGTATATTTATTAGCAATATTAATTATTATAATTATTGTTTTTAATTATAAAATTGAGTACACAAAATATATATTACAAAATTTAGTAGTATTAATTGAAAGACAACAACAATCATAATTATTATTATTATTATTTATTATATTAATAATTATTATATCATAATATTTTTTAGTATTTAATTTTATTGTTATCAATTTAATAGTGCAAATAATTATGATATTACTACTACCACTACTTCTACTTCTACTACTACTACTAATAATAACAACAATATCCAGATATGCAGTGGAATATCCAAAATATAATATTAAATCATTTTAATAAATACACATTATTATTTACAACAACAACAACAATAATAATAATAATAA